GAATACAGGCCTGATGCTGGCTGGCTTCCCTCTCCCACCACCACCTCCCTGAAACTGTCACTGCCAGGGAAGAGCAAATGTCCTAGTGAGGACCTGCAGAGGCCGAGAGCTCAGAGTTAGGGCTAGACATGGAAGGGGTCTCCCTGAGGACCATGGTCTCACAGAAACCAGGCAAACCCAAGGTCCCAGACACAGTTAGAGGCTGAGAGCAGAGAGCAGGATCTGGAGCAAGGCCAGGAGAGAGGCCAGTCGTTGTCTTGTAATAACTCATTCTGCCACTTTCCATTATCGCAAGGATAATACACATTCTTTGTAGAAATGTTGGAAACCATGGAAAAATAGAGAAAAGAAAACATTTCGACCAACCAGAGAAACACTGTTAAAACTTTAGTGTGCTATATCTTTTCAACCTCTCTGCTCTGGGAACATGCATTTTTTTTAAAAGATGGGACAATATATGTTTTCCTTTACTAAATTGGATAAACATTTTACTCACATTATTACAATTCTTTTATGATATCATTTTTAATGTTTACAATATCATTTTAATGTTTGCATGGGCAAAATGAGGACACAAGACCCTAACTAGAATCTAATCCATTCGGGGCCAAATTTTAGACCTACCATTTCCTAACTATGTGACAAAACTTCTCTTGTCTCAATGACTCCCAGCCCCCCACTCCACACACCCACAGGCATAACAACACAACCTCTTCCTAGGTATGTTGGGAAGATTGTATGAGAAAATGAATTGAAAGCATTAAGCACAATGTCATGTAAATGTTAACGATTATCATTACTGTAATTTATCTAATTCCCCATTCTCAGACATTTGGGCTTTTCACATTTTCACAATTACAAATAAGGTGCAAGGAACACAATTATAGATGGTGCTTCTCCATAATCATGTCTCAATATAAAATTACTGTATCAAAGGGTAAACTTTGTAAGAATTTTATACACACTGTCAAACTATTCTGTAGGAGGTGTGTATTGATTTATAACTAATTTGATGGCCCCTTAAGGAAGTTGGTTATGAAATCAGGAACCGATGATGAACTATTAGTACAGAGGCAGGGGGCAACCAGCTTTTGTAGATGACCCCAGAATGTGAGACCTGCTGAGAGCCTGCTGCCTGCTCTTCTTTTAAAAAAGGGGATGGGCCCTGGCTGGCATTGAATTAAGGGAGAGGTGGATAGCAGGTGCCAAAAGATATTGGAAAAGGCCTCAGTGGATCTATAAAAACCAATCACATGATTTGCTTACTTGGATTGCTTTAATGTATTACTAATTATTGACAAGTATTTCTTAGACATTTTAATTTAGGTGCTACTTTTAAATTGTAACTAACTCAAAACAGCATACATGTATAATTTTGTGTTATGTGGAATACGTTGAATTTTCGTACTGTGACTATCCTTTATTCCAAGATTATGTCCTTTACATATTTTTTTCTTAGGTTATGTTCTTTTAAGTTGAAATGATGGTGATACTTGGTGGTAGGGTATTTTGAAGTCCCCTAACTGGCCAATAAAATTGTCTGCTTCCACTTTTAGCCTTAAATTTTATTAACCCCTGGAATCCATGTGTCTGGAAGCTAATGACCCGATGATACATAATCCAGTCTTTAAACTTCAATTTGTCCAACATTCAGTGAGTAGCTACTGAGTCCAAGGTGAACAGACATCCTTTCCCTGACCCAAAGAGCTCGTGCATGGTCTTTGGATCAAATATTAGTGCAACACCAGGAAGGGCGTATTGGCTCTGAAGTGACAGGCTGGAAGGGTCAGAGAGGTATGAGAGCATGGGATCACAGTCCACCACAGGGTCCATTACTCTTCTTTATTCTTTCTTTCTTTCTTTCTTTCTTTTTTTTTTTTTTCTGAGAAAGAGTCTCGCTCTGTCACCCGGGCTGGAGTGCAGTGGCGTGATCTCGGCTCACTGCAACTTCCGCCTCCTGGGTTCAAGTGTTTCTCCTGCCTCAGCCTCCCATGTAGCTGGGACTACAGGAGCACACCACCATGCCCGGCTAATTTTTTGTACTTTTAGTAGAGATGGGGTTTCACCATGTTAGCCAGGATGGTCTCAATCTCCTGACCTTGTGATCCGCCCACCTCGGCCTGCCACTCTTTTTAATTCTTACAGGAATTGTTTAACTCACTATTAAATATTGGAGCCTTTGGGGAAATAAAATTTACTACAACAAACACCTCCTCATAGGTGCAAAATACATATTTCAGGAATTAAAAGGACAAAATAGAACTAAATCCGAGACAAGAGTAGAGGTAAAATATTCCAGACACCAAGTCTTATAACTAAGTGGAAGTCAGCCATATGCTTTAAAAAATATTTATTAGGCAATTGTTTGGTTAAGAACACTCAAAGGAAGGAAAACCTATGTGTAGTTACATATGACAGGTACGTGAAAGCTATAGTAAACTCTTCATTGACATTCAGAAAATCCCTAAAGAAAAAGAATTGCAAATGAAAACATCAGTGACATTTATGACATATTATAACAACACAAAACAACCAAGTATGAAATTCTATACAGACATGGAATACATCATATATCAGTGAAACAAGGGACAAGGCTGTTTGGATAATATATATATATATAGAACAAGTGTTTTCTTTTCCTTTCCTTTTCTTTTTTTTTTTTTTTTTTTTTTGAAACAGAGTCTTGCTCTGTTACCCAGACTAGAGTGTAATGGCGTAATCTTGGTTCACTGCAACCTCTGCCTCCTGGGTTCAAGCAATTCTCCTGCCTCAGCCTCCTAAGTAGCTGGGATTACAGGCATCCACCACCATGCACGGCTAATTTTTGTATTTTTTGGTAGAGACAAGTGTTTTGTATTATACTAAATCCACAGTGGTAAAAGTGAAAAAGATAAATTTTTTGTTGTTTGAGCAGAGAAATGTTTTGGATTTAAGATGTTAAAGTCACAGCAAATCTTTCAAACCATTCTTCTTGAAAGCTTTCTCTGCGGCTGGGGGAGAGAGGAATTCTGGAAAGAATAGTTGTACACATTTTGGTGGAACTTTCTGAACATTTACACGAGGCATGATTTCTGAGAGCTTTATTGGCTTGGCAGTTTTGAGGGTAGTTGGTAGTTCCTTGAGCAAAGGTATATCCTGTGTCATGGTATAAAATATTAATTGGAATTCCAGCAAATATCCAGACAGTTGGGAGGGGAATAGACATGACAACCTTTTTTGTTTAAGGATGACGATATTTCTGTCAACAAAATCTAGTCTCTAGCATCCTACAAGTTGGAGTTCAAAAGAGAAAATACAAAAACAAGCCTCATCCAAACTTTCCCCCTCACCTTCTTCAAACTCAGATTCTTGTCAAGACTAATACGATTGAATTCATTTAATGTGAATAAATAAGTGATGTTAGCTTAAAACAGCATCTATCACTAGCACATTCTTTTCTGCTGATTTTGACCAGAAGTTCATTCTCTAGATAAGAAAATATTTATGTTGTGAATTCACTGAATTAACATTTGTCACTAACCACCCAGTTAAGTCACAATTGTATCTATTTTGGCTGGCGTTGCAATTTAAATTGCAAAAAAAAAAAAAAAAAAAAAAAAAAGGCTAATCATTAGCTAATGAACTGTATTAGACATGGTTTATCTGTTACTGACATTCTCTTTATCCTTTAATGACATTATTTACAAGAGAGTCAGTGTTTGTGAAAACAGAAAGCTCTCTTCTATTCACCCACTGTGACAAGAAATTTTGACATGCAAATATGTATGTCATGTTTTAAAGATATACGTACTACTTGTTAAAAGACAAGAGAGTGTTTCAGGCACCAAACTTGCAAAAAAACTCACAGTTTTTTTAACAGCATAACTCAAGTATGTGAATAAATAAAAAATAGAAAAAAGAAAAGCTAAAACTACCAATGTGGAACTAAAAGTTATAGAATGCTTGTAATGATATGAGATTCTTAATAAAAGTATTGGCATGAAAAAGTGGAAATTCAAGTCAAATCTTGTCACAACAACCTGCACTGCAATAAAAAGTTTTCTATAAAATGATTTTCAAGGTGTGGCCAGGCACTAGAGGTGTTTCTAAATCTCATTGGTAATTTTGAGTAACTCATGGCAATGGATATTTAAAGCAATCATTTAAAAGTTCTTACTTATACAACAGTTACTCCATGTAGTGAAAATGATCCAACACTTGATTTTGTGCCACAGTGTAAGCTGTGGTGACAAACACCTCATTCTCGATAACCAGGAAAATTGAAACACAGAGTAAAAAAAAAATCACTTTACTTTCCCTACATTAATGAAGAATATGTTGAGTGAAATTACTGCTAGCAGACACATTAACTGTGTCTACAAAATTGACCAGTTGTTGGAGAAACAACCCATCTTGAATTTATTTTGAGCCAAATGCACAGCAACACAATGGGATGAATAGCCAGCCCCTTGATCCAGTGTCAGCCGGAGATGTTTACTTCGCAATTTAAAGAAGTTATCAGTTGCCTGATGCAACAAAACACACAAGTGATTGCGAGCTCCTTAAGGATAAAATCCTTGACTTATAAATTGTTAGAGTTTAGAACATATCAGGCACATACTAAATGCTTACGAAATGATGGACTTTTACAAACAATATTCCTCTTTTCCCTGAGTCTTAAATGATTTAAGGAGTATGATAAAATAAAGAAGTTACAAACAATAAAAAAGCAATGGTATAAGAGGACAAATTAAAGATCTCTTCCTCTAAACATATTCTCTGAGTTTCCAGATTAATGCCACTGAAGGACAATGGTGGTCCCTACTACATTAACTACTCCCTGGAGGTGAATTAGGCCAAGACTAGACATAAACCCACAAGAGAGGAGGCTAAGCAATGAATTAAGGTTTGGGATTGTTTTCCTCCAAAGCAATCAACTCTGTGATGGAGGTCAAAGTTTTCTTGTTTGTTTCCTCTCAAGTAGGATGTATTTATAGACAAAAATTTTAAGGCTTCAGGAAGCTGAACTACCTTTTTTGGATTTACTGGGCCCTCTCCAGGACAATAATGCTCAATGCCCTAATTAGTATCCCATGAACTTAAATGAGTCAGTGTTTTTTGTTTTTGTTTTTTAATATTGATGCACTCTTAAGGACTAACTACATAATCAGCTTGCTAGCATTCTGTAGTTAGACCACATTGGTGGTGCAGTTTTAGTGTCAGAATGAATCTTGGAAATATTTTTCTAGAGAAATAATTCTAATTATGATTGTGTTTGGGTGTTTCTATACTAAATAATCAATCAATTATTTCATCATGATTATCTTTCTTTTTGTTGAAGGAAAAAACAGTCATGGCAGGAATTTCCCTAAATGGTTCCATCCATTCCATAGTTGTGAACCAATAACTTCATGAAGGAACTGCTTATATGACTAAGTATTGCACAGGATTATGAAAAAGTTATTACTCTTTGCATACTAAAGATATTAACCCAAATATTTAGAATGTAAAGAGTTGACTGTATAGGAAGCAATGTTAATATAAATGAAAATTATATACTTATAACAAAATGTACAATATTTAGTTGAAGATGTCTATTCATTCATAATTACAATTAAGAGAGGATCTGGAAGTCCAGGTAATCATATCTATCAGGTAAGCAATGGGATATAAGCAGCAAAACTAATTTGGAGACAGGACACAGCATAGGCATTTTAAAATAAATGGTTATAAGATTTTTGAAAGTTTTTAATATCAATAAGCAGTAGCATTTAGGGGATTCTTGGTTTTTCACATAAGCCTGCCTTCGTCACTTGAAAAATTTCTGTATTCATTAACTTTCTTGTAAGCTTGCCAGAGTACGTTACAAATTATTCCCTTATTCACAAATTGAAGCCTTATGATTGACTTAAAAATTGTTGTTAAGCCATATAAGGCAGTTTGTGATTACCCATAATTGTTTTATAAAGTTTCATTTCCTGAATATTAACACATGCAACTCAACTTAATTTAAAAATATATGTTACACATTTCATATCCATTCTCTTCTGAGCATACATTTAGTGTGATTTTTAGTGTTCATCACTCTAAAATTCTGCTATGTGAACATCACTATAAAAAAATTTTAGGGAAAGAGTATTTATTTTTAAACATTTCATATAAGGTGAACGATAATTTTGTGTATACTCTAGAGCTGTGCTGTTCCAAGTGGTAACCTCAAGCTACTGGAAACTTGAAATGTGACTAGTGCAACTGAAGAACTGAATTTTTAACTATAACTAATTTTAAGTTTAAAGGGTTACAGTTGTTTCAGTTATTGGAAAACTTTTAAGTGTGTTTAGACAACTTAGGTTGTTGAATCTACTTTTTATCTGTAAATTTTATGAAATCTAAATACATCAAATATTACCGATGAAAACTTAGTGTCCAAATTGAGGGATTCTGTAAGTGTAAAAAGCATGTCAGATTTCAAAGACTTCGTGTGAAAAAAGCGTATAAATTTCTTTTTAATAACTTTTTGTATTGATCACTTATGTGCCTCATGTTATATTTCTCTTCGACAGCACTGCTCTAGAGCTTTATGAAAATTGCTAGTTTTTAAAAGTTACATTTTAAAATTTGTATTGTGTAATGTCATTCTTTAAACAAATAATTTTGATCATTATGAAAAAGCAAAGCAAATTTGTATCTACCCACCAAGAAGTGCCCTAATTGCTCACTCTGTTCTACCTCCTTTCTCTGAATTGCAAAGCCCTCACCAGCACCCACAGCAGAATGCAAAATCATAGGCAGTGAATATGCAGAAATCGTGTATGAGAGCACTGATAAGTGTGCAATCAAATCAAACTGCTCGCACCCTACAAATGATGTCTTTTTTTCCCTCCGAAATGTTTCTGGATCTATGTGTTCCTAATTCCAAAATTAACCTTCAGCTTCCTCCCAAGTTCTGCTGTGCTATGTCTTCTTGTTTAGAATAATAAGCGGTGACTGTACTCAGCAATGTGCTAGGTCATGTATTAATACTAGATTCTGTCCAGGCCCGAGAACTTTCGTCCTTCAGAGTGGAGAGCTTTCTCTGGGAGAAGGGTTCGAATCCCAGAAGTCTGAACACTGCCACCCGGTACTTCTTGGACATGATGTTGTACAGAATGGGGTTGATGGCAGCGCTGAGGTAGAAGAGGACAAAGGACACGAGGTTGCAGTACTGGCTGATCTGAGCAATCTCCAAGGAGCCAGGCTCAAAGGATTTGGAAAATAAATATCGCCCTACATGGAAGGGCAGCCAGCAGAGGATGAAGGCAAACACCACTACAGCTAAAAGGACAATGGGAGAGAGAGAGTCAGCTCAAGAAATGTCATAGCAAATCACATTCTATTTTTAAGACTTTGTTTTTGTTTCATGGTCTATGACCACTGACTTCAGAGAAACGTTGTGTTCTGCTCTTCCTCGTTCCAACATTTTAACAAAGATTCAGTCTGTCTGGACCAACAGTTCAACAATTTTTACTGAGCTTCCCAGTCATTCCTATTTAACAACTATCTGAGTGATTTTGTAGTGAGTTGACGTATTGACTCAACTGACTAGACCATTTCTTCACAATAGTCCAGCAGTTTTTATGTGTTAGACACAACACACACATTTATGAGGTAAAGTGGATGTACTCAACCATAGCTGTGTATCCGAGTCTCCTGGGGCACTTTTTAAAGCAATGCAGATTCCTTGAATGTAGTATAGATTCAGTCAATTTAAATCTCTAAGAGGGAGATCAGGGCATATGCTTTATCTTTTCTTTTTTTTTTTTAAGTTTCACAGAGGATTAAATATACAGTCAGGATTAAGAATCACTGAGATGACTGATTCTATGCCACCTACAATAGATATAAGTAAGACATAAGTAAACCAACTCATATAAATTATCATCCATCCAAGTCTTCATTTTGACCATGTAAGATAATTTTTAAAGATGTCTAAATGTTTAGATTGTTTTAAATTCAGAAATCAGGGAAAAATAATAAATAACTTTTTAGTCCTTGTAACACTTCAGTGATCTCTTTCAAATTGTCAAGGAAGAACAGAGTTAACATTGGTGTTGAGACACCAATGAAGAAATTAATGGCTTGAAAATAAAACTGGAGGAAATTATTAAACTTACCCTTAAAACTAAGTTGTATAGTAGCAACCTAACTGCCACAATAACAATGTGAATCTCATAGGTGAGAGCTTAGGATCCCTTGGAGGACACTAGCAGGTTTATAACCTATGAGTCATGTCACGAGAATCACTGGTCCAGAAAATAAAATCTTTGACATTCCTTTAATAAACTCTATCACTGTAATATGTAGGATCCAGGAATTGTAAAATTGGAAATATCAAATCATCCTGGAATGACTTCTAAGAAGCCTTAAAATATGCCAGTAAGTATGAAGTCTTGACTATAATATCTAAATAAGAAAATGTACAGACCTTGGTTTTGAAAACGCAAGTAGTTAATATTTTGCTGAGATGTAAACACATTTATTGTTACTTCCCTTGTACCAAACACATATACTTAAAGAAGCTGAATTTGTGCAATAAACATTCAGCAAATCCAGTTATGACATTGTACCCAGATGTTGCTGAAGGGTCATTTGGGGAGGCAGTGAATTCTGTTGGTTTCCACAAAGTCTCCTTTCCTCCTGTTGGAGCTTTGTTTATTCTAGTTTATCCTTACCTTATCCTAGTGATACCTTATCCTACGATTACCTGAAGAGGCAGGTTATCATAAAAACAAATGAAACTTCACTGATTTGTTGCTGACTTCCTTATAAAGCTGTATAAACAGCAGCAGGGTAAACAGAATTGATGCAATTATCTGAAAAAATGCAGGGCAGAAAACAAATCACAATATTGAAAGAAAAATGAATCATCTTTAAGAGGATTATCCAAATTGATCATGTCTTTGGTTGAATTTACCACTGAACACTTTCTAGATCCAAGCCCTGCTTTTCTTAATGTAACTTAGATATTCACAAATTCTATTTGAGGCAGGAAGTCAGTCCTCACTTTTAACGCTTAAAGACTACAATAGACTTTTATAAGATAGCTCGATTTTAAAGTGGAGTTTCTGGCTGATATAAAATTTATTTTAGGGAAATACAAATGTGGGACATTTTTCCGTGAAAGAGAGAAAGGAGAGACAGGAAGAAAGAGACACAAAGAGATAGAGACGGTAAGAAAGACACTGACAAAGTAAAGGGGGAGGAGAGAGAGACAGAGACAGAGAGAGAGGTTGAGAGACCAAAAACATCACTCAGGAAAGCAAGAGGAGAGAATAATTGAGAGACATGCAGAGAGAAAGAGGCCCAGAGAAACCGAAGAAAGAGGTAGAGACTCAGCGGGAAATAGAGATGGAGACTCAGAGAGAAGGGAGCAGGCACAGGGAGAGGAGAGGATCCGCGAGAGAAAGCCTGAACGCGCGCTGAGACCCACCCAGCATTTTCACGGTTTGCTTGTGGTTCTGGTCCCTGAGCGAAGCGCCCACGACAGCATCGCCGCGCCTCCTCCGCCACAGCTTCCTGCCGATAAGACTGTAGAGGACTGTGAGGCAGAAGACAGGAAGGAAGAAGAAGATGCTGGACACCCACACCATGACCGTGAGCAGTCCAGAGCGTACCGCGAACTCGGTGGGGCGGCACTCGTTGGTGTCCCAAGGGTCGGTGCCATTCTCGTGCTCCACCCCGACTAGCACGAAGATGGGCCCGGCGCTGCAGAAGGCCACGGCCCAGATGACGAAGATGATCAGCTTCACCCGCCCCTTGGTGACCACCACCTTCGCCCGCAGCGGGAAGCAGATGGCGAAGTAGCGCTCGACGCTCAGCGCTGTGATGGTGAGCACCGTGGCGTAGGTGCAGCTCTCGCTGACGAATTGGAAGAGTTTGCAGAGCAGGTCGCCGAAGTTCCAGGGCCGGTACTGCCAGAGGCGAACGAGGTCCAGGGGCATGCAGAGGAAGATGAGCAGGTCGGAGAAGGCCATGCTGGACAGGTAGAGGTTGGTGGTGGTGCGCAACTCGCGGAAGCGCGACACCACCAGCATGGTGAGCAGGTTGCCAGAGATGCCCACTACGAAGAGCGCCACGCAGGTGGCTGTGACGCCCGCCAGCAGCGGCGCGGGGAAGAGCCGCAGCAGCTCGTCGCCCAGCGAGTCGTTGCCGGGGGAAGCATCCCACTCCAGGTCGGCCAGCGTGAGGTTGAACACCGGCTCTTCGCTGGCCGTCGCGTTCCACATGTTGCCGGCTCAGCCGAACAGGCTCTAGGACGTGACTGCGCTGGGAGGCTGGACCCAGCTGGCTCCCGAGGAGGTCCGCTTAGGCACGGGAGGGTGCGAGGGAGGAGCGGGTGCAGAAGCGTAGGGAGGATGCTTGGAGAAGAAAGAGAGGGAGGCGAGAGGCAGAAGCCGAGGGAAAAGGTGAGATGGGGACAGGGAAGAGGGAGAGAGACTGGTGGTCAGTGGGTGAGACAGTGACCCACTGCTTTCTCTGGCACCTCCCCTTTCCCCCACCAACTCCCCCAAAGTTTCTCTCTCCCAACACATCCTCCGGTCGGCTCCCACACGCTTACCTGTCATCACCCCTGCCTTGCATTTGCGTTCTCGCTCCAGTTGCATCTCGCACTTCCCAAAGCGTCCCAGCGAATGGGGACCGGAGGAACCAGGCGCCGCGAAGCGGGAGCGTGAAGAGCTCTCTCCGGAGCCCTGGGTGATGCTGGACTAGTATGCCCCGGAAGGACAGGTCACACCCAGGGGTGGGGGTGAGGACATGGTGGCAGTGGGGAGGACACCAGGACACCAGCAGCTAGGACCTGATTTCTTCCTCCACAAGGCTGCAGCTGGCTATGGCACTGGTGGGAAGTAAAAGCGAGCTTGCCCAACTCGACTTGGGAAGGGGGATAGAGAGAGAAAAGAAGGACCCTGTGTTTGTGTTCATACCGGTGAGCACCAAAGAATAGTCTCACGTAGTTCTAGGACCGGGGTTCAGCAATGTGACTACTTGTCCAAGGTCACACAGCGAGCTGGAGACTTGGGGACCAGTGTTGGATCTCCCACCTGGTTGGGACTTCTGAGCGCATCGGGGCAAGATATGTGAATAAACCCTGTCCTGAATCCCAGTCGTTTGTATCACTTGGTGGTGATAGAGAGTCTGCTGTAGGGGATATGACTTTTGCTTGATGCAAACCTGGTGGTGGGGTGCCGAGGGCGGTCGGGGAGGGAACAGGAGAAAGGAAAAAGGCAGGGTTGGAAGTGTGTGGAGCCCGCAAGTGAAGAAGAGGCTATGAGGCTGGCGCGTCGAGCGTGTGCAGGAAACATTTTTTGAGGCATAATTGAGAGATATCAGCCATTTAGTAGCCGTATTCTCTTGGGCAAGGTCTTCAACCTCCTGAGCGTTACTTCTTTTTCTTTGAATTGCAGTGATTTGTGCGGACCACTAGGGGTGAATATCAAGTGTCAGGGACCACCGGAGGCACTCAATAAATAGAAGACGCGTTGCTGTTGAGAAGTAGAAGCTGTGCCGGTGGTAATGGGTCAAAGGCCACCCCTACACTAGCGAGGTGACCCTCTGGACCCGGTTTGTGCGTCTGCTGCTCAGAGCCAGAAATCGGCACCCGAAGACAGGAGACTGTCGGTTGCCAGCGAATTCACAAATCCGACCGGCCCCTCCCGGCCCACAGACCTCGGGACCGCCCCAGGAACATGTTCAGCACCGTGGCCAGCGCCACATCCATCCTATGGCAAAGCGCCGCTGGAGGAACGGCTTCGCTGTTTTTTTCAACTCGCGCTTCTAACGCTTCAGTCCTACCCCACGGAGGAGCAGTGCACACTCCCACGAAGCACAGGCCGGCGTTAGCCTCTACCTTGACCATACACATCGGCGCTCACCCGATGAGATCCCACGTACTGTATATGAGAGAGTTTCCCCCTCGGTTGAATGCGTTTGTACGTGCCTTTCAGTTTGCACCTCTACTACCTAAATTGTTAATACTTAAAAGTCCACAAAGACCTAGAACTGAATGGGTGCACAAGTGCGTGAACGACTCCATACAGTAAGATACTACATGAGAGAAGTTTGATACAAGAAATTTAACATAGTGGCTTGGTTGCGTCTGGTGTGTTAGACATTGGACCAAATTGAGTTTTGTTTTGTTTTGTTTTGTTTTGTTTTGAGACGGGCTCTCCCTCTGTCGCCCAGGCTGGAGTGCAGTGGCGCCATCTCTGCTCACTGTAACCTCCGCCTCCCAGTGTTGGATCTCTCACCTGGTTTGGACTTCTGAGCGCCGAAGTCCGGGTTCAAGCGACTCTTCTGCCTCAGTCTCCCGAGTAGCTGGGACTACAGGCGTGTGCCACCACGCCTGGCTAATTTTTTTGTATTTTTAGTACAGATGGGTCTTCACCATACTGGCTAGGCTGGTCTCGAACTCCTGACCTCGTGATCAGCCTGCCTCGGTCTCCCAAAGTGCTGGGATTGCAGCCGTGAGCCACTGTGCCCAGCCCTAAATTGAGTTTTTAGAACGTTAATTTCAGACAACTATTTTTTAAAATATTACAACTAAGTCAAAGTACCAATTACTAACACGTTTTTATTTAATCAGTAACTTTAATTTTATTACTCCCTGCCCTATATTACCAGTAGGTTGATGTATATGGAAAGAAAGGGAGAGAAAATAGACTAACATAAATCAGAATACTATGGAAAGTTATTGTCTAAGACTGAGAATCAGGAAAATATTGTGGGATATATTTCTAGTCCACTCAGTGCCAAAGCTATGGTTGATAGGTGAAAAAACTGGAAAAAAAAAAAAAAAAAACTCACCAAAACTATTGTGATAAAAATTTTTTTCATGTTAGCTAAAATAGCCAGCCATTTAATGGCACTCAACCAGTTTCTAAAATATAGACAAATCTATATTGCATGACCAAGAGGAAACAGAGGGTGCTATTGAAATTGATCTATTTATTCACAACATGTAAAATATTATGTAATACTGTATATAAAACAATCTCTAGTATGTGGTAGGTACTAGGAACAACAAAATAAAACCCAGACAAATCCTATATTTATAAACTTATAGTCTGGAGAGAAAAATACAGTTAAATAAATAATGCTAATACAATATTGATAAGTGCATTTAAAGAGGCATGTACAATGAGCCCTGTTGGAATACAGAGAATGAATGAACCACATGGAGGCTTTAGGGAAGGCTTCTCAGCCAAAGCAGCATCTGAGCTGGATCTTGAAAATGTTCAGTTCCGTCAGAAAAAGGAAAATTTGCTCCACCGTTCAGACAATGGACACAAAAGCATTTTGGAGTGACACTCAACAAGTCTTGTTCTATGAATGGTGTAAAGAGTATTATTATTGACTTGTGGATTTTTATATAGTCAGTGCATACGGATCAGTTACGGCGATTTTTTTCTTTTAGACATTCAAATTGTCCCATCTTTGGCCAATGAGATCCTCTTCAAGTTGGCTTCAGGGTCCTTATGATATGACTCATTTAGATTTTTAGAGCTTCCATGCTGTGTTTTGTGGCACAATGAGATGCCTCCAGCTCATGTAAATTCTCCACACTAGACCTAGGAGCAACCATTATTTCAAGAATCCCTGGTATCTGCAGTGGGAAACAGCGTTTAGAGACCACCATTTGGGTAGTGGGATTGGTTATTGTGCCTGGAGCATTATGCACTAGGTTCTGTAGACAGAGGTAGGATATATATACACAGATTATATGTACATTCTATACATATAAATAAAGTTACATAGTTTCCATTATGAAGATGTACCTTAGTTTCATTTAACCAATGTTTATTGATAAATATTTGTGTGTTTTTAATAATCTTTTATTGCTATAATATATATTGCTATATATTCTATATATATATTGTGTATATATAAGCTATATACTATATATGTATACATATGCATATATAGATGTGTGTGTACAATCATTATCATCTCACAATATCTAGATATCTATAAATCATGAGATTATAATTACGATAATGTAGATAAATTAGACAGACCCTGAGCAGATGAACCAAACTAACATCACCACTGTGATACCTTGGGAAGAACACAATGTCACTTATATGTATTCCAGCTAGAAATGAAGAACCTCAATATAATCACAAGGAAATATCAGACAAACTCAAAATGAGAAATCATTTATTTAAAAAATTATTCCAAAAATTTCAATGTTATATAAGACAAAGGAAGACTGAGAAAATGTTCCACAATAAATGACACCAAAGAGACATAACAACTAAATATAATTTCTGATTTTAATTTCTGATCAATGTTTGGTTTATTGAAGTTGACAGTCATATGGAAGAGGATATTCTTATTCTTAGAGATGCACACTCAACTGTGATTTATGCAGCTTACTCTCAGTTGTTTCAGAGAAACACGACGTGTGAGTGTATGTGTAGATAAATAGAGCAAATGATAGAGCAAACGGGGCAAAATGTTAGTAACAGGTAAATCTTAGGAAATGGTAAAATATTTTTTTTGTACTATAATTGCACATTTTCTATAAGTTTAAAATTATTTTCAAATAAAAGTTCAAAACTCATACATTTGTATAGACATTTCTGATTCAATTTCCGATTATTAACTTCTTCGAGTTTATATTTATACTGAACATCTTGGTTTCTAACAACATAAACATAATTATCTTATACATGAAATGATTTCAGACTTATAACGTCAGCATTACCACTAATAATAAAATTGACAAATGAAGTTTGAGATTTTTTTGCAGTTCTCTTTTGTCCTTACAGTATATCCCACTAAGTTTGTACAACTGCTGTGTTTTAAAATTACTTGAAACAATGTTTTTCTATGTCTGGTTATTTACCAATTTGATACATGGTTCATTTGTTTCAATTACTTTCAATTTTTTAAATTTTCTATTTATTTGTAAGTTTTAGTTTTTAATATATAAAACATTTACATGATGTGACAATTAAAATGTTAAAACAAAGTATGGTTCTAAATTTAAAACTTTAAACCAAAGTATATTCAGGAAAATGTTATTTTCTTTTCCTATTTTTCAATAGATAACATTTAAAATTTTTAGCTTCTAATTTATGTCTTGTGTGTGTTTCTTTTTGTGAGTGTGTGTGTGTGTCCTACTACAAGGTAGTATACTATACATTCACACTAGATTGTCTTCTGTGTTGCCTTTTCAATTTAACATTATATCCTGAGATTCTCTCATAGCAATTTTTTTATGTGTTTTTTTTTTTAATCCACCTAGGGAAAGTTACATAGTTTCCATTATGAAGATGTACCTTGGTTTCATATAACCAATGTTTATTGAGGAATATTCGTGTTTTTAATAATCTTTTCTTGCTATAAATGATAATGTGTATATCATTTTATATGCATATAGCTATATTACAAAATAATATAAAATAATTTAATAAAAGAAATGATACATGGCGGTATACAAATCATTGAATGGCACAATACAGCATGGATAGACAGTGTATAGTGCCTGAGTGTCAAGTCTGGGCTGTGAAAACATATAGAGAAATTTGGTATAAGGTAACAGATACAACATTACATTGTATTTTTAGAAGTGGGATTGTTGAATCAAAGGGTCAAAGTATTTTTGTTATATATTGCCACATTCCTCTCCATGGGATTGTATCACCTTGTATCTCCACCAGCAATGGATGAGAGTCCCTGATTTCTCCCAACCTCTACTACAGTGTTGTCAACTTTTTAATTTTTCCAACTTAATTTTTAGGTGAGAAATGGTTTCTCATTGTGTTTTTCCTTTGCATTCTTTTATTCTGAGTGAGATGAGCATATTTTCATATGTTTAAGGGCCATTTGCTTTTCTTCTCACGTGAACTGCTAGACTATGATTTTTCCCATTTTTCTATTGGGTTGTTGTTAAGCTTTTAAAAATTGATTTCTAGGAGCTCTTTTTGTGTTGGAGAGATATTCCTTTGGAAGGACATAAATAGAAAATATTTTCCCCAGCTGTTCATTTGTCTTTTCAATTTTACTTATGGGTGTTTTTCTTTATTTGACACACACAAGTTTTAAATTTCTGTGTTATCAAATTTGTCAGTCTTTGTTGTTATTGTTTCTGGATTTTGAGTCATATTTATAAAGGCTTTACTCACAGCTAAGTTATAAAGGAATTGTGTTTTGTTCTATTATTTTGTGGCTTTATTTTTTAACACTTATTTCTGAATCCATTTGCAATTTATCCAGGAACATGAAATGATATATGGATCCAATTTTATCCTTTTCCAAATGGTTACTCAGTTGTTTCAACACCATTTATTTAAAAGTTTGCCTTTTCCTTAATAATTTAAGTTGACTCTTTTGTCCTGTATTAAATTTTTCTATGTATTTTCAGAGCCCAGTCTCAACACTCAGGCAGTATACACTGCCTCTTCATGCTGGATTTGTACCACTCAATGAATTGTATACTGCCATGTGCCATGTATTCTTTAATTATAAAATTTCACTTATTGATATCATATTTCATGTATTAATCATGATAAAAATTGGATACATACATCAAGAAACCTAAAAAAGAGACTGAAAAAAGATAAAATCTTATGTATTCATTTTTCTTCTAAAGGAAATTAGAATA